AAGGAAAACCCGACGTAAAACATCCATCTTATCGGGCCGCTAAAAAAAATTAATACATAAATCAGTAAATAAACATACATGATATTAAACAAAGACAAATATGTTTCAAACTTGCATTGTATTCACCCAAGTCATTATTCTATCATAGTTCACAAAATGCATCAGATAACATTCCAGAAGTAAGAACTTATATAAACATTTAAAAGGACAACATATATAAACATTCAAGAAGAAGAATAGTTTACTTTCGCAACACGAAACATACTTTCCCAACGCGAAAATGACTATCGCAACGCGAAAATGGCTATCGCAATGCGAAATGAAAATCACAACGAGAAAATCGCAACGACAAAATCGCAACGCCAAACACAAATCGCATTGCGATTTTCATTTCGCATTGCGATTTTGTCGTTGCGATTTTCATTTCGCATTGCGATTTTCATTTCGCGTTGCGATTTTGTCGTTGCGATTTTCATTTCGTATTGCGATTTTGTCGTTGCGATTTTCATTTCGCATTGCGATAGCCATTTCCGCGTTGCGATAGTCATTTTCGTGTTGCGAAAGTAAACTATTCTTCTTTTGCAAATTGAAAATTGAATGGATTGCATTACTTCAACCAAAAGACAAAAACAAAACCAAAAACAAATACTAACAAAAACAGTTTAGCAGTATTGGCAGCAACCGAATGAATTTATTAAGCAATCTAAGTGAAATGGTTAATCTAAGTGAAATTATGAGTAAATTTATCATCAAGTTAAATATGAAAAATCTTAAACTTACCTCGTTGCGTAGAGTATGAACCTCATTCTGCAATGATGCTACCATCTCACGTAGAGCGGCTACCTCACCGCGTAAAGTAGACACCTCAACACGCCATGCACCATCGTCTTTGCATAAAGTACCGACCTCCTCACGCAAGGTATTGGCCTCATCACGTAACTCCCCTAATTCATCCCGTGGAGGTGGAGGTGGAGAACAGGGAGATAAACGTCGTGGCATCTTTGTCAGTCGCCTATCTTGCGGTGATGGTGGAGAAGAGGCTCGATGATGTGACAGAATAGGTGATGGCTGTCGTTGTGGAGGTGTATAGTCTGGGTGAGGTGATAGCTCTGGGTGAGGTGATGGCTCCCGAAGTGGAGGCTGCTCATCATCCGTGCCATCAAAAAAACACTTACTAGCTTGCCACCAATCAGTGGCAAGCTCAGCTTCTTAGGGTGTCAGCCTCTGTAATGGAGTGTTGGCCTCTTAACAATATAAAAGCTCAAACAAAGTTAAACGTGTACTAGTAATAACTTGTTTATAAACATATGGTAGTATTTATGTTAACTTACATTATTTATTGTTGTATACCATAGTAAATCTTCCCATTGCAAGGTTCGTTTCCTCTTCCAGGAAATAGCCCTGGGAATATCATTTGAAGTTTTTATTGCATATGTCTTCATGGCGGGAAAGGCCTCAAATATCCAAATCTACAAACAATATAATAACAAACATTAGTAATTGTTAAATAATTACTTATAATTTTGGAAACATTATATAAAATTTCTTACCTTAAAGGCCCAAATAAAGCCTGTCAAAGTGTATTTGGAACCATCGCCATGCAAACTTTTTCGATCATCCAAGGCAGACGATAACTTATTCTATGTAGCTTTCCATAAATACGAGCCCCACGGAAACAGGTTCCACGCATTTAGGTCTTCTACCAATTTGATTAGATCATTCGGAATAGGTTGTCTGGCCTCTCTGCCTAAAAAGTCGGCATGCAAAAGTATTAGAAGGCATACTCGGACAACATCGATGTCATCCATCCGAGTAAAACCATCTTTCTTATTCAATAAGCTCGTCAGGTCTTCCATGTGTAGAATCGGCCTCTCCAGCTCAGGAAAAAACTGGGATAACCATGATGGGCGGGTAATGTGTCTAGTGTACCGACCTACATCATCGTGTCCGAAGCGTAGACCGGTGATTATGCAAAACTCCTCCCGCCCAAAACACGTATACGCCGGTGGAAAATCAAACCATATCTCTTCATCACGACGTTGTATAGTATCTAGTAGATCCCTAGTCATGGTTTGAAGAAACAGGTGTGTCAACATCGCATCTCCACCGGGATGTTGTACTTTCAGCCATGGCCGGAAGCAAGTATCCTCAAACATTTTTCTTTGTGCAGGTGAAAGCTTCGACGCAATTGTTTTGGCCAGGCTGACTTTATTTCTTAAGGTCAATTGAGCCGAATAAAAGTTCTACAAAAACAATAAACGTACTAAGTTAGATATACCAAAAACTATACTGTGAAGATATACTAAAAACAATAATAAACATAAAGAGTAGTAGTTTATTCTTCAAACTTAAATTTGCAACACTGTAAATTTTTTATTTGTCTTTGTTTTTTGGTTGAAGTAATGCAATTCATTTAAGTTTCAATTTGCAGAAGAAGAATAGTTTCTGAAAATGAAAATCACAACACGAAAATGACAATCGCAATGCGAATTTGACTATCGCAACGAGAGAATAAAATCGCGTTGCGATTTTGTCGTTGCGATTTTCATTTCGCGCTGCGTTTCTCGGTTGATTTAATAAGCAATCTAAGTGAAATGGTTAATCTATTATTGAAATTACCAGTAAACTTATCATTAATTTCAATATGAAAAACCTAATAATAATGCAAAAATTTCAAAAAGAAAATAATTAAAAAAACTAACCCTCGGTGGTTGATTTGGTTGATTTTTCATTTATGATTGTGAGGGTGGCTCTGAGAGATGGAGATAGACGGATTTCGCCGGAGATGGGGACGGATTTCGTCGGAGATGGGTGAGAGAGTGAGAGATGGAGATGGGACTGAGTTGTGATTTTAGGTTTTAGGTTATGAGTTGCTATTACGGGATATACTGTGAACGGTTCAGTGTTCCAATATATTAATATTCGTGTTTGGAATTTGAAAATAAAATACGCTTTGCAATACTAATGGCGTTTTGAAAATCGCATTGCGATTATGTATTATCTCGTTGCGAAAGTCAGTATCTAGTTGCGAAAGTAAGTATCGTGTTGCGAAAGTCAGTATCGCATTGTGATTTTGTATTATCGCGTTGCGATAGTCAGTATCGCATTTCGATTTTCCAAATTCGCATTGCGATTTACTTATTCGCATTGCGAATTGAGAAAATCGCAATGCGAATTGGGAAAATCGCAATGCGAAATTGGAAAATCGCATTGCGATAGTAATAATCGCGTTACGAATCTGGAAACTGATTTGTGATAATGGAGATCGCGTTGCGAATTAGCGATCGCATTGCGATTTTGTTGGTCATTTTGGCAAATTCGGAAAAAGTTGGTTAAAATCGTATATTATATGGGATTTTTGATCACTGAAGTTATTTTCTCTTTTAAAAATATTAATTAGTATATTTTAAATATCTTTATTAAAATATTATTAAAATATATAAATAATATTATTCATTATTAAATATATAAAGATTTTTATTATATATTATTAAAATAAAAATATAATATCTTATATTATTATAATATAATCGATTATTTTATATAATATTAAAAATATAATATTATATTATTATAAATACTAATAAATAAATAAATAATATTTTTGATGAAAATAATATTAAAATATTTTATTAATATTAAATTCATAAAATAAAATTATTTTGAGTATTTATTCTTTGAAGTGAAAAGTTCGGAAAATAACTTACGAAAAATGAATCCGTAAGTCATTTTACAGAAAACACAAAGGAAATTCTGTTACTAGAAAAATGAATTACATGTCGAAAAACCAATTACGTAAAAACAAACATGGGAAAATATTTTCCAAAAAACGAATTACGTGAAACAAACACGAAAATTCGAGGAAAATCAATTTCGTAATTCCAATTACGGCAAACAAACACACCCTTAATTCAATTGGCATTATCATTAATAAAATACATAAAAAAAACGTAAAATTGAATAGATTTATACGTTCAAAATCCTTTAATTTATGAGTAATGAGATATATAAATAATATATATTATATTAAATTATTAAAATGGAAATACACATAACAAAAAAAAATAGAGGAAAGTGTGATTTTCAATTTTATTTAGTGCCGGTAACCCCACATATTATTGGCCTATTGATCTCATGGGCCCCTCGCTATTTTCACCTGAACGTCACTTCATCACCGTTCAATCAAATCACCTCACAATACCATACTATTCACTAATTATTATTATTTGTTTTTGATATATTACAAGATGAAACTAAAATACTATTGATTAATCTAAAGTTAAAATAGTTAAAAAAAATTATACGAATTAAATTACCTTAATAATTAAAAGATAATTATTATCTATAAAAATCTCAAATTTAAGTATCAAATATTATAAGGGTATTTAAATTTTTATTGTCAAATAATTTAAAATCATTAAAACAGATATTACATTGTAATCGTTATAATTAAAAAATTTATTAAGAGTATAACATTCTAGAGTAATTTGGATAACATTTGGATTGAAATCGAAAATATTACGTTCTCCGTAATAAATCATATAAATTTCATAACTATCTTAATTGTAACATATAAAGTTATCGTTAATACATTCTTTGTTATAACATAAATTATTACTAATTAAATAACTTTTTAGAATAGACATATTACATCTTAGGTTAAAACATGATATAATATAACATTTTTTTATTTAACAAAATTTTTATCAATTATATAATTTTTTTAGGTTAAAAATACCATATATTAACCTTAGATTAAGCATTGCACAATATAATTACTCTATATTTCTTATCAATTTCTTTTGTTGATATATTAGTTTATGAGATCCAAATTAAATAATTATGGACATGAATTTAGTTAATTCCACTAACAATAGTCATATCTAAATGTTTTTTTGTTTAATTTATTTAAAGAAATAATACTCTAAATGAATAAAGTTGCAATTATTATAATTTTAATTACCATTTGTATTGTTCGTTTTCGTCTTCTTCCGAACTCTTTTTGTTTATTTATTTTTTCATAGATATATTTTAAAAATTCGTAGTCAGATTCTTCACTGAGAGGTCACAAATTCTCTTGAAGATCCAACCAAATGCCAGCGCTTTAATCTTTCTCTATCAAAGTTAGGCTTTTATCTCTTTCAAGCTCTCTTTTTTAATTCCTCCGGTTGTCGAAATTGTTTACTGGAAACCCCATTCTGTCAGCTTCCTCAAAGCTCCATTGATTTAGAGTTTTGGGTTTGATTCAGTCTCAAATTCTTGCTTTGAATGTCAGATCAGAGCTTTAATTTTGGGTATTGACGGAGATTTTTGGGTTTTGTGGCTAGCAGTTCGATTTGTTGACTTTTGGGGTTGAATTTGTTGATTTCTGGAGGTTTTGATTGGGTTTCGGGTGGTGCTACATGTTGATGATGATTGAATCCGGGGTTGAATTTTAGAGAGTTTCTTGTTTGGAGATTTTAGGGTTACGTTTTTATGTTGTAATTAAAAAAGGGGTGATCTATTTTTTAGTATTGTTTTAATTTGTAGCTTTGATGTGTAAACATTACGGGGTCATCTGCTGTATTTCGTTGAGGATCCTTTTTGAAAAAAAGGGAAATTCTATGATGTCTACCAATCTTTTTTAGCTCGGTGAAGATTAACAAGTGTTTTTAATTGCTTGAATATTAGTGATTTCGTGGTGAAAAAAGTCCAAAAGTTAAGTGGGAATTTGTTGAATTATAGCTTTGGTGGATTCATAACTTGGCATTTGTGTAAATTGTGGAGAAAATGTTTGCATCTGGCCCAGAAACTGGCCGTGAAAACAGTGGAGTTTTGAGGCCACTTTTGGTTCCAATGCGCTTCGTTTGGCCTTATGGGGGAGATAGAGTGTTTCTAACTGGATCCTTTACTAGGTGAGAGCCAAAAAAATTTAAGTTCAGTTTTTCCTAAACTTGTTTTTTTAATTTTATTATATTTTAAGGATTTTTCATGAATTTAGGTTGGAAATAACAATTGATTGTATCCTGTGTGTGCAGGTGGTCAGATCCTATACCTATGTCTCCAATGGAGGGTTGCCCCACTGTATTTCAAGTAGTTTGGTGGTTGAGTCCTGGATATCATCAGGTTAATCAGCTTTTATGATCATTATCTGTAGTAGATGGAAAAAAAAGCCATATTTGGAGCTGAAATTCTATTTTGCAATGTAACGTAGTGTTCTTGATTTGTTCTTGATTTTGCTAATGTTTTTGTAGATTTTCAGATAAAATTCATGGTCAGTTTTCTGATATTGTTTGTTCTTATGCTTCAAAATACTTTTGAATCTGTTAATAATATAGATGGAAATACAATATTTCTTCCCATTGCGGCCTTTGGAGGAGGGCAGGAGATAGTACACAAATATGTTATCAATTTGCCATGTTGCCAATAATTTAAGTGCAAGAAGCATGGAAAGCACTCAGCATGCTCTCAACAGTTATATGATATTCTTCTGTCCACCCTGTTCTATAGTAGAGAGCTGGACCTTTATAAGCAATATATTTAATCATATTCTCCTGTAAAGAGCACTTGATGCTGATTTTTTATTTTCTTCTCGGATTGATTAATTATGGAAATGACTGATAAATCATCGGAAGTAAATGCTGCAAGTACCTTTATGTTCTATTAATAAGATCCTAGTTGAGTTCCTAGATCCTGCATCCTGGAGATTATCTTGGTAATGGTAAACTAAGCTTGTGAAACTTTAATTACAGAATAACTCATTTGCTGCTTCATGATTCATATCGAGATTTTGTCAGTATACTGATATGATTGCTTTGTAATAATTTTATTTTTTCTTTTAAAGTATTTTGTGTACTAAACCTGGAGTAAGAAAATACATGAAGCAAAGCTCCTAACTTTGGTCGTTTGTTTGTGGTATCATGTGGATGTCTTGTAGTCCTCACACTGGAATGCACATCTTTTCTTTACTCTGAAACTAATTTCAGGTTTTATTTCTGTTTACTGGCAGTTTAAGTTTTTTGTTGATGGTGAATGGCGACATGATGAGCGGCAACCCTTCGTAAACGGTAATTATGGTGTGGTTAACACTGTCAATATATCTGGGGATCTGGATGCAGTTTCTCCACGTCTTAGTCCTGAGGCCCCAAGTAGATCCAACATGGACCTTGATGATGTCTCTATTCGTTCGGTGTGCTTCTTAAACACTTGAATCTTCTTTTGGTGTTGACATTAGTTTTCTAATAAGTTGTTTTGTTGGTCCTTTTTCAAGTATTGAGGTGCTTTTTCTAAAAGAAACAGGCTTGAAATTATTGTTTTATGTTAGATTTTAGATGAATAAGCATTTATGTCCTTTTATGGGGATAACTTGTAGGAACCAGTTCCAACTATGTCAGATGCAGATTTGGAGGTCTCTCGGCATCGTATAGCCACTTTCTTGTCAAGACATATTGCATATGAGTTGCTTCCGGACTCAGGCAAGGTTTGAATGCATTACCTTTCTCTTGGATCTGTTTATGTGGTAACTAATTGTGGGTGGTGCTTGAGGTTGGCTCTATGAATGTGTCTGTTGTTGCAGGTTATTGTCTTGGATGTTAATATAGCAGTGAAGCAAGCATTCCATATTCTGCATGAACAGGTGAATCTCGTTTATAAACTCAAAAAATATGCAGAGGTGAAAAGACATGCACATTCACCGCACATAAAGGTTCTGCTAGTGTTTCCTGTTTTTCATCCAGGGAGAAGATTAACCTCGTGGTGCTGTGGTGGTTCTCTGTTTTGCCAATTCCCTTTTCTCTCTCCCTTTCTTTTGACTTTCCACATCTTCTTTGATGTAATTTTTCCTTCACCGGTTTCTTTGGTGTATATAATGTACCCTTTAATTTAGATTTTTTACTCTTTACTAATGTATGCAATTTGTTGAGGTTTTACTTTTCACTCTGCTGATTATTAGCTCAGATATTATCTTTGTTTATTTATGCTACGTTTAGGGAATTCCTGTGGCTCCTCTCTGGGATTCTTTCAAGGGCCAATTCGTTGGAGTTCTTAGTGCATTGGACTTTATTCTTATACTAAGAGAGGTGAGTTCGGGAAAAACTGTTTTGAGTTTTCCCTTCACATGTCAAAGATAAGCTGTGATAAAATTCAGACAAAATTTTAGTTACAATAAGAGAATTTGGCAACATAATTCAGGCGAATTTATAGACCTAGAGATGGATGAATTAGGGAATTACTTTACTGAAATAGATGAGCCACTGTTTCATTTAACATACAAGCAGGAGTTTAGAGACCCCATCTTTCTAATTTTGCTGAACTTAGCAGATTGCCACGATTGTCAAGAGAAAAAATAAGTCAGAGATAGGAGTTTAAAACTGGAGGGCCACCTAACAACAATGGACTAGATGTTACCCATATGCCCGTATCCGGTAGATAATGGTTTGAGAATCAATTGAAGTTTTTAATTTTAAAAATATTGGTGAACTTTAAATGTTTAGAGTTATTTGACCATGAACACATGTTTCGAACAGAAAATTATCTTTTCTTTCTCCTCCATGTTTAACCATATATTTCAATTCACCGTAAATCAGTAGTTATGGTAACATATAGTTTTAGGAGTACTCATGTGGTGTTTTAAGCTTTCTGAGATGTGCTAGTTGAAATGTGGAAATACATGGTATTTTTTCCTTATTTGCAATGATCTAGCTTGAGTTCGTTTAACATGTATAACCCTTTGAAGGATAGTTGGGGAATCATGGTTCGAATTTGACAGAGGAAGAATTAGAGACACGCACAATATCATTTTGGAAAGAGGGAAAGGTGCATCTTAGCAGACAGATTGATGGCAATGCAGGATCATATCCTAGACGTTTTGTTCATGTAAGTGCTTCATTTCCAGGGTTATCTAGCATTTCTAAATCGTTCATATTTGCCTTTGATTTATTTTGACACATTCACTTTTTCTTTTGGATGATTCATGGTGGTGGGAAAAATTGCCTCAATAGTTCTTAAATTACCTGCTTGTATGTTAAATGAAATTCCTGCTTTTGGTTAGAAAGATGAGGTGTTCACTGTTGAAATTATTAGGATGTACTGTCTTTGACCTCGCAGTCGTTACCTATTGCCTTTACTACATTATTCTGGAACCTATTCACGGAAAAGAGATTGTGATTTCTTTCTTAGTGTACTGTTCCAGATTTTGGAATGATGGTTTATTTGGATTCTCATGATACTGAGGTTATTCAATCTTGATGTTTCTCACAAAATTTATTATAGAATGAATTACCTATTTTTAAGCTCTTGGAGCCTTTCTTTTGTAGACCATGTTTCTAATGAATCCTCATTGTACTTCTGTTTATCATATATTGACTCACTTGTTTGTTTAAGGTAATATTTATTGTAGGTTGAATACTTATTTTTGCTAATATTTGATAAAAACTGGACTCCAGTGAAGTTAGAGCTAACTTTATTGTTTAAGGTAATATGTAACATTTAGTATCATTTTATGCAGGCTGGGCCTTACGATACTTTGAAGGATGTTGCTCTGAGGATTTTGAAAAGTAAGGTAGCTGTGGTTCCCATCATTCATTCATCACAGGATGGTTCATTTCCGCAACTGCTAAATCTTGCCACTTTGTCTGAAGTTCTAAAATGTAAGCTTTTCCCTCAGTTATTAGCTTAAGGTACTTTATTTTTCACTTGTTTGTTTAGGGTACATGAGTTATTTCTAACCAGAGCCTAATTTTCAGGTATATGCCGACATTTCAAACATTCTTCTAGTTCCTTGCCCATTCTTCAACAGCCAATTTGTTCAATTCCCTTGGGTACTTGGGTGCCAAAAATTGGGGAATCAAATGGTCGGCCTCTGGCGATGCTGCGACCAAATGCCTCTCTTGGTGCTGCCTTATCATTGTTAGTTCAAGGTAACCTATGGCCTTTGAGCTTAAGGTTTTAAGCTGCTGCTGAAGTTTGTACAATATGGGCAAATAGAAAAGAATATATTTTAAGCATGCGTTCGTATAATATTGAATTTAAAATGTTACGTTTTGCTTCTACATATTTTCATTGCATGTCGAGCTTGTTGCTTCGCTTTTTGGTGAGCGCTTATATGTTATATTTGACTACCGATATGAAGTAAGGTTATTGTAGATATCGAGAATAGGTATTGCATCATTACTAATTCCTTTGGTTTTAGAAGCATTCTTTCCTCCTTTTTCCTTTATGTTCTTTTTTGAGGGAATGCCTTGATGTCATTAGAGTTATACTTCACTGTTTGTACTTATTGGTGTGTCTCTTTTGTCCTGTTATTTCTCTCCTCGCTTTTCCGTTTCCTCATTTTTTTGTTAATCATCTTACAAGATCACACCTTTTGCAGCCGATGTAAGTTCGATACCGATAGTGGATGAGAATGACTCATTGCTTGACATATATTCACGAAGGTAACCTGTTCCTTTTTTCAAGTGGGGATGAAAATTGCAAAAGAAGAAACTGCTGGATGCCAAATTAATTATTTACGTTCCTTAAAAAAGTTGTCCTCTCATTGTTTGCTTGACAGTGATATAACTACTTTAGCGAAGGATAAAGCCTATGCACAGATTCGTCTTGATGAAATGAGTATTCATCAGGTTAGAGAAAAACGTCGTTAATGCATAGTGCCGCCTGTTTGCTTAAATGCAAGTAGAAAAAGAGCTTTGCTTACTAGTGAAAATGATCTTGCAGGCCTTACAACTGTGTCAAGATGCAAATTCTTTAAAAAGATGTCAGATGTGTCTACGATCCGATACTTTGCACAAAGTGATGGAGCAGTTAGCAAATGACGGTATCCTTCTCACCTGTTCTCTTTTATTCTCATATGATTATCTCGAAGAAGGAATCTTCCTTTTCGTCTGTTTCTCCATGCGTCCTACTCTATACTGCATTGTTGCTTGTATTCTCACAGGGGCTAGGAGACTTGTGATCGTGGAGGCAGGCAGCAAGCGAGTAGAAGGAATCATTGCATTGAGTGATGTGTTTAAGTTCTTGCTTGATCTTTAGCTCGAAAAGATCAAGCTGTAATTCTCTTAAAGAGGGCCTTACTATGGTGGGATCAAGTAAGATCCATTAATTTTAGTGAACTCCGGATTTCACCCTCTGCTCCTCCATCTCTGCTCCTCCATCTCCTCCGTTCCACACTTTCATGCCGAGTGGTCTTATTTGTTACTTACGAGTCGTTTAATCGGCGGGGCTTCGCTTCGTCACTCTAAAAGCCCCAACCGATTTTAGGATAGGAATTTCAAAGAGCAAAACATGATCTGTTTGTATATTGAGTACTTCGATTTTCGCCCTTCATTTCAATAACCTAATCATCAACTCAACCAATGCTGCTGGAACAGCTCTCCCTATGTCATGAATCTATTCTAACAGAAAAGAAAAGTGGGACAGGAGAAGAAGAAGAGGGGCTGAAGTGTATGTTGTGATGTATTTATAGCTTTTGGTCTCTGTTTCATTAGTTGTATGCATTATGCAATCTTTTCCTGAATTTTTTTTTTTACAGATTTCGGTCGTCATTTACTTGTTCATGATTGTATTATGCTTTTACCCAAGGCCAGGCAAGCACTAGTCAGGGATCATGGAGATGTTTTCGGGTTCCGGTTTGAATAATATATATTTAGAATTTTTCTTAATTTATTAATAATGTACAATTCTGGTAGATGTAATTATTCCAGTATGACTATGTAAAGAATATAAATATAATACGAATGATTGGATCTCGATAAAAAAAAAACCCTAACTAGCTAATCGATTTGTTCTAGTGTAATCAATAGTTTAGTTCAGTGCAAGGCAAAAAGAATCTCTATAGATCGAAACGCAGCGTTTGGCTCTCCACTATACTCAAAATAGAGATAAAACAACCGGACCACTAACTGAAAATCAAAATCTAGATAGAGAAATGAAACTACCGTGTCTGTACAGTTCGGCCCCTCCAGTTTTTCCAGTTCCGGCAACCGGTTCAGATCTCGACTGCCCAATTTTCTCTAATTTTACTGTAATATCCTCACGTCGTCGTTTACCTCGTTTGATAGTTAATTCCAGAGGTAGAAGCGGAGAAGATCCTCTCCTTCCGGTTCTCTCCAGTTCCTCAGCTTACGCCGTCCTCGGCGTCGACCCTAACTGCTCTGCCGTCGAGCTCAAAGCTGCTTTCCGTGCCAAAGTAATATATAAATAAATAATTATAGTTTTATTTGTTTAATTATATTCAAAATTTAGCTGCAAGTTATAAATTAATATGCTCATTTGCCAAGAGAATTTTGGGGAAAAAGAATAGTTATTTTGATTAAATTAAAAAAGCTTCTTTATTTTCGTAATTAATTTTGCATTTTTGTTCAAAGGTTAAGCGGTATCATCCCGATGTAAACAAAGACGGAGGAGATTCTGATAATATGATCCGCCGTGTAATCCAGGCCTATGAGGTTTTAATTTTTCCCTCAATTTTCCTTTAATTGATTGTAGAATATTCTTATAATTACTAAAAATCATAGGGTTCTAATGATTTAGGGTTTCCAGTTCGTTCTGTTTGACACACTTTTTCTATAGGATTTTAGTGATAAATCTTGGATTAATATTTCCTTCAGATCTTGTCCAATTACAGCCGGTCGGAGATCATCGAGAGGTGAATTCCTTGCTTTTCTTCTTTTATAAAATTCAGGAACTAGTTTTTTTGTGTGCTAATTTTGAATGATTTTATATATTGCTTGTGTTTGGCATCATGAATGTGTTTATTGTTGTAAAGTTCTTTTATCTTTTGCTCTTTCATTTCTCTGTGTTTGTTATTTTATCGGACATTATTGTTTTGCAATATTGACTGTTGGGTATATGCATTGTCTAGGGAATGCTTAGATCCTTTCGACCACCCCGAAAGCGAAGCATTAGATGTTTTTGTTAATGAAGTTCTTTGCGTCGGCAAAGGTAATCAAGCTGCTTTAATTGTGGCAGAAACAAGTCTTAAGTTAAACATATTGGTAGGTTGTTTTAACATATAAAACATTAATGTGACTGTCACTCTGAGCTGTTGTGAAAACATCTGTAGGTTGCCCATATTCATGTGTAAAGAGAGCCCCTCATGCATTCGCATACGACCCTTCGACTGGAACCGCTCGTGCAACTACTCAAGGTTTGTATATTCAGCACGAGGTTTTTTTTTTCACTCTGAGATTATATTACTCGGGGAACTTTCTCGGTTTCTTTTGCGTTTCCGGTGGAGTATAAAATTGTTTAAAGTACTCGTCTTTGCGATTTATCAGGACATGGTGAAGATTATCAAGTTCAGCTGGCAGTTGGTCAGTGTCCGAGAAGTTGCATCCATTTTGTGACACCTTCACAAAGAATCATTCTGGAGGAGTTACTTGATAGGTACATATGTATCTCTGATAGCCTCCTAGAAGTTCTCATTTTCCCTAATGTTCAACGAATTATCTTACCGGCGATGATTTTCGGAAATGAGATAGATCTATAATTGCTGCTGGCTTTTATAATCTTTTAGTTTCATTAAACATTCATCATTGGTTTTTCACTAATGCATGCTTATGAATTATGGTTTCTGATTATGTAGCATCCTGGACGTGCCTTTTGACATTTCAGCGGAAGCAGACTTGCTTTATTCTCTTATAGTTAAAGCCAGGTTCGAAAATAATAGGTACCAAAAGCCAAAGAAGCAACCGAAAACTTCTACCAAAAACGTTGATTGGTTTTGAACTGAGTGGATCGAAAAAATGTTCGAGATCCTCCAGAGCCACATGCAACCAACAACGTTTCCGCTCGCACCGATGGAAGTACAGCACATAACATATGCGCATATGCAGTCGATAGTTTCGTTTGCGATTCTTTGGAGAGAGGTGACTGAACAGAAGAATATGTCTGCAACATATTCACACACAAGCATAATGATAAGATTCTCTAAACATATCTGATTTCAGGTAACATATGCAGATTGTATCATTAGATTTACAGATTCTAGCAGAAGGAAGGTTGAATTTATATTGTATCATGAAGTTTTTCTTATCACCTTACAATGCAATATACACGTTAGAAGAAGTCTTAAAAACGGATACAAATCCGAAACTGTCCGGCATTGAACTCTGAACAATCTCGTAAGAAGCTCGATAAGATGATATTATTTTGAAATGGCTTTCACGAATCGATTCAGTGAAGAGAAAATGCCCGCAGCTTGACTAAACAATGAGGGACCTTGCTCTGACTTCTCTCCTGCATTCCCGAATATTATCTGAAAAGATGAAACAAAATTCAGAATGTTTGCATTTTTATGTTGAATTTTCCATGCAAGTTTGAGTAGTTACAGAAAGCAAATTAACCTCGAGTTCTTCTGCGTCGGGACGGCTCACGAGTTCTTTTGCAAGCAGATATCTTCCGAGCCTATCTTTATCATCGTAAAACACCTTCCACAATCTGAAAACGATTACGAAAGGGAGAATTTAAGCACGGAAAGGTCTCATTGAGTTGATAATGGCCAAGACATGTCGACCGAATCGATATTTGGGACATTACAGCAAAACCTAAACGAGGCTTACCCCGGATAACATCTAAACACAGCACCAGCTGCCAAAGGTCTCATTGAGTAAACAGTCGTGAAAGAACTGCAATACAAACGAGATAGAGATGTACTACTTATTTATGCAATATAACCAAGAGTATGTGTCGGATATCAATATTGAATACGAGTGCTTCATACAAAATGAAAATCTGAGTACCGTAAAAAGTATCGCCTTAACTGGCGAACGTTAACCCCGACTCCGACATCTTCACTTATGAGACGAGGGTTCCACATGATGAGAGGCCTAGGCTACCAACATTTGAAGAAAATCATGATGAAATAACAGCATTTAGTCACCAGCAAAGAAAACTGAAATTGCAGAACAATGATCTGCAAATCAAACGAGGGGATGAATATGGTTCTCGCATCATTAGAACGGGAAATACATACATGAACAAAAACGACATCAAGTTAGATCGGTACCGGATCATCTGATAGCTCCGATGTAATTCTTTGTACGCGCTCCAACATCTGGTAATCGGGAACAACCATGACAATAATCTCGTCTTCGCTCTCCACAGGCTTCCGGTCACTCAAACTGGATAAACACAAGCACAGGAATTGCATAAGCATGAGTTACATTAGTGCATGCAACCTGAAACATTATCTTCAAGTTTATGCTAACATGTTGCAATCAAACCGAACAAGTAACCGATTATCATCGATATCGAAAGAAATTACCTGGCGAATCCGAAAGCGGCATCTTTCCATCGATACTTCAGTAATGCAGCAGCTCCAGCATCTGGAAATATAGCTTTAACTTTCTGGCAATTTCAGAACTCAGCACCAGATATTGCATGCCAATATATGAGTATCAAATCAAATTAACAATGAATTGTAGTTGAAAGCTTCCAAGTTTCTAAGCATTCAATTTTAGGGTTATTAAACTAACCTGGCCTCCAGTTTCTTCAATCAGTGTATCCAAGAAAATTCTGGACAAATCCCAAAGCTCAGCTTGAGCACCTTCATCATCAAGAAACTGTAGCTGAGGTATTAAGAGCTCAACCTGCAAAAAAGTTTAAAAATTCCATCAAAATCTTAAAATCAAAAAGAATAGAAATTGATATCAAAATCTTTCTTTGGCAACTTACAATAGCTCTCATTCCTCCTGAAGATGTAAACAAGGCACTTGCTTCACCTGATTGCCTCACTGCTCCCACCAAATCAGATGGCAAACAACTGAAATATAAAAGATAAGATTTTTCTCCTCTAGAATAGAATACATCAAAGAGAAACCAACATATATATATATATATATATATATATGTATGTATTAAATGAACCTGTCATCTTCTTCTTCAATGGTTTCTTCCTGGATTTGTACAGAAGATGCTGTGATATCTTGAAGATCAGCTTCAGAAGGGTCACCTTGGAATTTGTCAAACTTGGCAAATGCTACAGTTCTTGTCACTGAAATTCCGTGGCAGCCATTGAAGATAGGATAAGAAAAGGATAAGGGAAAGTTTGTGGTTGAGTTTGAACTATTGGGTTTGGAAGTAATGAAGCAACAGTTGATGCAGCTAGGTGCTGCAACAGCCATGAAAGAATAGCTCACAGTTATCAACTGATTAATTGTTAGGTAAAGAAAATTTCTTCAATATTTGCACCAGTTATTATTATTAATATTTTCAAAAATTTAAGTTGTGTTCTTATCCTTTATTTTGTTCACGAGGTTGAGAAAATATGGTGATAAAATAAAATCTTTCCTAGCACTGTGACTTGTGGAGTGAAGAAAATTTATTACTTTGTAAACTTTTGACATTTAATTAAAAGGGTAAACTACAAATTTAGTAACTGTATTTTATTATCTCTCCTACTTCATTCATTCTACTTTTAATGTTTTCAATTTAATCACTTAACTTTACACATTAGATCTTTTTTATCACTCATAGTTAATTATTTAACGGCTTTATGACATGATAACTTATACTAAAATGATGTAGTTTTAGGTCTCTAAAAAAATCAAATTTAGACCAAACGATGTCATTTTGGTCTGAATAAAAATTATATTTCTTTCCTTTTCTTTTCTTTATTTTCCCCCTTTTTCTTCTTTCTTCTTTCTTCTTCCTCCTCTCCTTTCTCTTCATTTTCTGTCCTAAGTCTGAACGAATCAAGATCCGAATCATCAGATCCGTCAACGTTATAACTACAGCCAACCACTGCCGCCATTTTAACTATTGAAGTATTTTTTTTGAAACAAAGAAAATTAACAAGTTGCAAGCACAAAATATTGGCCAAGAGTGATGGGAAGTTCATGTCTACGAAAGTCCCTCATTGTGAACATTTTCAAACTATCTAATGGAGCGCGAAATGAAATTATGGCAACCAAAAGCATATTAGGTTAACTTTATCTGCTTAGTCATCACAGTTTCAAATCGCGATTGCATTTTCGGTCATTTGCTGTCGTCACGGACGCGAGTGTAACGGGTAACTCGAATGACGGCAAAACCGTTATATCACAGACGAAATCACGGTGGTGGACCGTTTTTTAAACCCTCGTCATCACTTATCTCAACATTACCATCCTTGAGATACTAGTGCTTTTCTCTTTTTTGAAAATCTGTCAACCCATTCCCACTTCCTCTCACCCCACTGAGGATATTCATTGGCTGCGATGCTTGTTACAATTCCACGATCAAACATCAACAATGGTAGGTTTCACTATGCACTAGTTTGATGCTGTTTAAAATCTTTCTGGAAGTAGGAGTACTCCTGTGGCAAAGCTAGCTAATTTTTTTTAACTGTTAAATTTCAAGTAAGAAAGAAGAAGACCAACACTTAATCTGATTCGATCGGCAAAGAAGACGAAGACATACACCTCATTTCCTTGTTTCGCCGTTAACTGAACTTCATGCGTTTTTGTTTTACTTATTTCGATTCCAATTTTTATTCGATGAAAGTGTGTGAGGGGGAAAGAGATTAAGAGAAGGAAATGGAAGGAAACGCGTATAAGGAAAAGAAGCTTTGACTCGTACGAGAAGAGCTTGACCTTATTCTGATTCCATCGGAATAAGTTTAGTTAACGGAAGACCCTGTACTCGCACGAAACCATCTGGTCAAGTTTCTGCAGGTGAGCGGCAAATGGAGGAAGGGGAAGGGGGCGGCAAATGGGGGTTAATAAACAATATATAAAAAACAATATCAAAAATATTAATTAGTTAAAAAATAAAAAAAATGTCATATCATCACAGAGTTAAGAAAAAAACGGAAAGGTGAAAAAAAACCCAACGTATAAATCAAGTGATTAAATTGAAAAAAATCAAAAGTACAATAAGTGAAATAGGAGAGAATAACGTTTAGTTACTAAATTTGTAATTTACCCTTATGAAAAATATTCAGAACTTTATAATTTACAATATTTTTCTGAACCATTTATATATATATATATATATATATATATATATTATTTTTTAAGTTTAAGATTGAATTGATAAAATATTTAGGTTTATTTTTATAAAATTGATTTTATTACTCAACAAATTAATATTTTATCTAAAAGTTAACAGTAAATAATCATTTTGTAATTTTTACTAACTCAAGTGATTAATTTATACCATTTTAAACTTAAGTGACCTAACTAAAAACTCACTAATAATAAAAGTAAGATTAACATCCGAAAGTTCTAACTAATAAATAATTTAGTATTTAGAATACTTTGATGCAGAGTCTAATAAAAATGTACAAGATGAAACAATAATTTGAGTTGTCTATAATTTAGTCCTTATGCGCTTAATAAACTAATTATAAGATTGATTTGAATTTTAAGTAATTTTGCAATTATTTCAACTTTTGTCAGTAATATCTCTTATTTGGCTTATGATTGAACTATATAGGGTGTTACAGTTTCGATAGTTTAGAAAATCATGCATATAAATACTCATTTGAGTCTGAGAGTATCGAATCTATCCACCAAGTATTACTAGATACTTAAACTAAATTAAAGTAAGATCTATACTTCATAGACTTCAAATAAGTCAGAAGTGATGTCATCTAATTTTTTCGTACTTGACAAAATATTTCTTAATTTTATCAAGAAAATTATTAGTCAGAATTTGATCTCTTCAAATTTTGTGTCTCTAAAGGATTTTAGAATATTTTACTTCATGATCACTAGTCTCATATAGTTTGAACGATCATACCTTTCAAAACCACTTTCAACATCAGGTGCTTGCACTATGAAAGGTGTAGATTGTTCTTTTCTTAGTATAATATTTGTGTTCATACAACCATGCCCTTTTCTATTTCTTGAAATTGATTTCATTAAACATTAATATATGGAAATGATATTAGCAGATATTGTGATAGGAGAATATGAACTAGTTAGATATAAAAAACCCATCAACATAAATCTAAAAGATTCAATATATATTTAACTAAAATATCAAATTAAATTATTAAATTTGTAAAACCTTAATAATGATTAATCTAAAAGAATCAAATAATACTCAATGATTTAACAGAATGAAACTGTGATGTCATTTGGTGTATTATAATAAAACTGATATATAACTAAAAATTTATCGACTATGTCAAATCATCCAGAACAAAATATTAGATGTGAATGCATATTTTTTTTATTCAAATAGAAGCCGCTAACTTTATTAAAAATGTGATACTATCCAACATTACAATGAGCATATAATTAAGACATATCCATATAACCATTAACACAATAAACCACTCACTTGAGATCGCATAAGGTTCATACAAAGAAAAGGTTAAAAACTCATCTAAAAAACTCAAACAAAAGGTATATATGAAAAAATCTAGTTGCATCGAAAAATGAACTACAACAGGGATTAAACTATTGAAAGACTACCGACAATCGCAAATCAAAGTTGAGCGTCATGAGAAAACTATCTTCGAACGTAAATCAAGTATCCAAATCTAATCTGAGAGTCTAAACCAGGGAAGATTAACATGATAACAAATAAGTTCCATCTTGACCACTCGAGAAACGATCGAAAATGTACTAAAAGGCATAGGAAAACATGTCACAATGACAAACGAAAGTGTGTCATATATGCAGAGTAATTGGAAATTATAAAAAAAATATATAAGATGTGATATAAGAAAATAAAAAATGAAACAAAGAATACAGATGGTTGACGAGCAACACTAAAATTAACTTGCGGAGGGCCAAACAAAGAAGAAAAAGAAAAGAACAAGAAGCAAGCGACTAAAATACATATTAGAAATTGCTAGAATGCTTTGATCTTCTTAAAAAATAACTTTTCTTATTGTATAACTTTTTGATAGAGATGATACCTATTTATTTATTGAGGATATTACCTCTTTTAAAAAATAGATTATTAAATTAACTTTGAGTATTTATAATTTATACATTATCATATTATAAATACAACTTTTATTATTTACGTATTATTTTTATAACACTTTATTCTCTGTAATATTTATAATATAATTAACTATTTCATTTTATATCACTCTTATAATAACATATTATATATATATATATATATATTCTCATAATTGAAAATTTAAATTCAATATGATAAACCCGTCTTTTAAAATAGTCTCTTCGAATATCTAATGAATTTTTTAAGTTACTGAAATTCAATTCTAATAAATTTCGAAATTTAATTTTTACTTAATAATAACTAAATCAAATCAAATTATAAACTTTTAAAACGAAATTATTTAATATTAGTCCTATGATATCGAATATCTTGATGTCGGAATAATATATTGAGAAGCATGTAATAATGGGTATAACAAATACATAATAATTTATGGGCCAGCATTAGTCTGAAATTATGAATGTCACAGTCCAAACTCAGAAAAATAAGCTTATTTATTTATTTAGTTTATCGCTATGCTGCACCAAAAATAGATATGGAAAAGATATGTTAAAAGAAAAAGAGTAAAGCACACAAATGGTTATTCGACTATAGGATGTTATTTTTTTGAGTCCCCCGATTATAATATATTGCTTTGTTGAGTCATTTGACTATTAAAAGTTATAAAATGATCACTGGACTATTCATATGTTCCAAACTCGGCATTCTCTGTTAAAAAATTGACAGTAGTCTGAGCTGGATGTTAACCTGATGACTGAGATGTGATAAAATATGATCTCAAAATCTCAAACGACTATCATATATCAGTCAACAGATTAAGGTCACGCTCAGTCTGTCATCAATTTTTAACGAAAAAGAACGAGTTTGGAACATTTGAATAGTCCGATGACTATTTTGTAACTTTTAATAGCCGAGTGACTGATATATGATAGTCGTTTGAGATTAAGTGATTTATTTTAAAGGCTTAATATAAAAATAAGTGTCCAAACTATACCTAAAGTAAACTTAAAAAAATTTAATCAAAAATAATTTGTTAGTGATAACATTTAAGTTGCAATAATCGTAAAAAATCACCTCTATTAATTTAGGTTAAGAGTTGTAATTGGTGGTTTATAGTAAAATTTTAGACAATAAATGTCGTTTAATTTTGGAAATCTTAAGAATATTTTTTTGGATAAATTTCTCATATTATTATCCAAGAAGCAGTAGACAAAAATACACTGCTACAACAAATACAGATCCCACAAATCAAACCAAAACTAGCCTTCTAGGAGGTAATAATCCCCCAAGCAAGGCAAAGATTACAATT